CCAGGTCTGGGACTTGAACCATGGTCCACCGTGTAGGAACCCAGCGCCCTCAACTAACACTCTACCTGCCGGCCCCTAGATATGATTCGTTAGTGCAGCATAGCTGCTGCAGCAGACGCAGCTGGCACCCGTCTGCACGTCTCGCCCTCACCACTTACATGCAAGCCAGCTAGGACCTGCACACCTGCATTTCTTTGCCCCAAGACCTTGTCTGGCCTTTGAGATTCACTTTGCTGGAAAGGGCCAAGGAGTCACCACCCATCCCAGGCCCACAGCTGTCCTCCTCCACTGAAAAATGGAATTGATGCTTAAAACCTTCCCTTGCCCCCGGCTCAGGCGGGAAGTTAAATTCTGAGGTGTGTCCTGCACTGACTTCCGGGGTCCCCAAAGGGATTCAGTGGCCTGTGGTATGACTGGGTTGGTAACACACCCTTTACCGACTGTCCCACTTCCCCACTGCCTTAGGGCATTCCCTCCACATCTTAAACAAACTGCTTGCATGGAGAAAGTCACCTTGGGGCCTTTTGGGAAAACCCAGGGGAGGTATCTGACAGCGTGTGGTCTTTGATTTTCCCTGCAGTCCATCGTGCGATGTGTCCCTGGCATTGGGATCTACTTCGGCACTCTCTATTCTTTGAAGCAGTATCTGCTGCGAGGCCACCCGCCCACCGCCCTGGAATCAGTCATCCTGGGGGTGGGCTCGCGCTCTGTGGCAGGAGTCTGCATGTCACCTATCACTGTGATCAAGACCCGCTACGAGGTGAGTTCGACTTCAGGGCCCCGGGGCGGGTCACTGGGCTCCTACATAGTGACGACCAACATCAGCTCCCAATTTGTAATCTGTGAATAGAGGAGTCCAGGGGCTCCGAGAACCCATTGAGCAGACAAGCTGAGCCGAGCCGAACGAGAGCCCATGGTGCCCGGTAATGGCTTAAAGCCTGCGGCCTGCAGCGCGGGGCCTCGGGTCAGCGGCTGACGCTGTGCTCCCTTCGCAGAGCGGCAGGTACGGCTACGAGAGCATCTACGCGGCCCTGAGGAGCATCTACCGCAGCGAGGGCCACCGCGGCCTCTTCTGCGGCCTGACGGCGACGCTCCTCCGCGATGCGCCCTTCTCCGGGATCTACCTGATGTTCTACAACCAGACCAAGCACATTGTGCCCCACGGTAGGACTAGAGGAAGGTGTGGCGGGAGGAGGGCCTCCTGAGACTGCACGCCTTCACCATCTCTAGGGCATGAGACCGTTTTCCTTAGCAGCTCCAGATTCTTTATTTTCTTGTGTGTGGGGGGAGG